GAAAGGAATGAGTTTTCTAGAGAGCAAAAACGTAAAAATAAAGTCTGGAAGTGAATATTCTCATCCCTAGGTCCAAAACTGATATTAAAATCTGCGCCTCGTAATTCACGCCGGGCAAGTTGCGAGTCGCGACTTATCAAAATACTAGGCGCGAGTTGTCAAATATCTTCAACTTCTAGGGAAAATCGCGACTTGTCTCGCGAGTCGTGACTCCATCTCGCGAGTCGCGAATCGAGCTCGCGAGTGTCTCCTTTCATCTCTGTGAATCCCGCAGTTGCGAGAAATTCTGGGCACGTCTTCAGTTCATTTTTTGGGTCCTTCCCTCAGCTTTCTGAGCTCCACAACGGGTATTCTCGACATCACAGTTTCAGCTCAAGTAGTCCCATCATCGACCAGCACAACCTACCTCCTGAAAACACAAATACGGAGAAAACACGAAGCATAACACATCAAAATGACGCCCAAATCGAAACGAAAGAGAAAAAGATAAAACCACAGAATTGGACCAAATAAGCTACTAAAAACCTACAAATGGGGGAAAACAAAAGGAAAATAAACATGAAATAAAGACACAAAAAATGGGACAAACAACTCCCTCACACTAAGACTTTTGTTCGTCCTGAACAGAAAGAAAAGAAAAGAAAAGACAAGACACAAAACATGATTCTGGACATCAGTCGATAACAAGATAAGTCTCAACACGTTCAACTTCAACAATGAGCATTCAGATGGCACATACGAACATAACACGACTACATGCTTGATCGCTAAACTCTAATATGACGTCCTCTCACGTATGGGTATGTATATGTGTGCCTCAGTCACTTTCTTATATAGATAAAGATATAGGTGCACTCAAATTGGTCGATAACAAGTTCAATCATAGGCTTGCCCATAGTCTATCTTCTACTCTAAACCAATCACAATCGAAACTAGTGAATCAAAAGGTCTTTCTAGGTTGTAACGTAGGCTCTTTGGACAGGTAGGATAAATATAGGCTAAGTGGCTCGAATACAACTCAAACTTCTAACCCACGAATGCAAGCTCAACCGGTTGCTC